TTAAATTAACTACTTCTTTGTAGCATAAAAAATATGTATTATTTTAATTTCTTCGTTTTTTTCACTTATATACGTTTTAAAGAAAAGTCCTTTAATGGTATTGTTAAGACTTTTTAAACTTTTCTAATTACTTCTTCTTCTTTAAGTGCCGTCTCCTTTAAGAAGGTTGGCTATCATCACGGCTATCTTCACCTTTGACACTGCTGCTCTAAACAGCTCAACAGAGTTACAATTGTACCACTGCCTCAAATTGTTTAGCCAGGATACACGTCGTCGGCCTATGCTTCTTCTGCTTTCTAATTACTACAAACATAAAATAAGTTTTTTTTTAAATGTTAATAATTATTATTTATCAAACATTTAAAAAACAATTTTCTATCATACGAGCACCATAAAAAGCCAACAGAATCATATATTTGCCATTAGTAACTAATGTGACAGGTATTTTCCATATAATTGTGATGCGTTAATAATGTTAAACAATCGTACAATATTTAAATAACGACAATGACGGAACAACATCGTTATGGAATGTTAGATTCCATAACAGTTCCGAACTAATGGTAGAACAACACAAGCCCACGTTGACGTCAGGTGGGGTTGCCAGATCTACGGAAATTACTATGATCTGCATAAACCATAGGTTAGAAATCAGTACTGTTTTAAATGTAGTTTGGATTTTTTGATTTCAAATAATTGTATTCTCCATGTTAATACGTCATTTATAAGTGTGGAGAAACATAAAGATGTATAAACATAAAGTTATTGTTGCAAAGTAAGTTCTTTAGGATTATAAATATGTTTCTTGCAATTTTAGACTCAGTTTCTTTTGTCTAAGCCTCATATACTGTTACCATTATTCTTAAGTATTTATTTTTTCTATGTTTTTTTTTTACAGTTGGTTTGAAAATATCTTTTTTTTTGTTTATTTCTAGTCCATAATTTGTGCATGTATTTTATACGTCTGTTGTAATATGTGTTACCATTTTTCCGTATGGGTTACATAAATTACCATATCATCATCTAAAGTTCATATAAATGATAAATGTATGCATTCTTGTTAAATTTCTCAAAATGCGCATAATTTTTCTGTCAGTTCCTCCCTGGTAATCCTCTCTGTATCATTTTGATTAGGATTTGATAGAATCTATTAATATCTAATTCAAATGTTAATTAAAATTATTTTATACAAGTAATATAAATTTAATTTTATATTTTTATACAAATCGAAATGTCAAAATAACCACTATTTTAGTTTCAAATATGTTTAATTTCCAATAAAAATTGTAATTAATATTAAAATGGCACAAGAAGATAGCTTCAAACTAATGTCCAATATTTAGTTACTACCATCTTTGTTAGTGATAGAGACTAACTGCAGAGATGCTGAAATATGGTGGAAAAGTGGTAACTAATACTCTACATTCCCTTTTTAACAAGATATTAGAAGAAAAAAGAATCCCAAACAACTGGAAGGAATCAGTAACCATTATCCTACATAAGAAAGGGGATAAAGCAGATATAAAAAACTACTGTCCTATAAGACTCCTTAATGTAATGTATAAAATCCTAACAAAAATTTTAACCAATAGGTTCACGACAAAATTCGACGGATACCAGTCGAACGAACAAGTTCGTTTTAGAAAGGGATTCAGCACAAGTGGCCATTTACTAAGTATGAAAATACTTATAGAACGAGCAAATGAATACCACATTCCTCTATATATGGCGTTCACAGATTTCGAAAAGGCTTTCGACAGTGTCGAACATTGGGCAGTGACAAGTTCTTAATTTACCGGTAGAACTGACCACAGATATACGGAACTAATAGCCAATATAATATAAGGAAGCCAAAACAACAATTAAAGTATATGAAGGAACAAAATCAATACAAATAAATAGAGGCGTCAGACAGGGTGACACAATATCACCGAAACTTTTCAATCAGGCTCTGGAAGATACTTTTAAAAGAATAAAATGGGAAGAAAACGCTTGAACCATCTAAGGTACGCTGATGGCATCGTATTGATAACCGATAAAAAAGAAGAATTATTTGAAATGATGAAAGAACTCGACGTAGAAGCTGGAAAGATAGGCCTAAATATGAATTACAGCAAGACCAACACCATAACAAATACAGATGAATACATCACAATGAGAATCGGACAAGATAAAATAGAACAAGTTCAGGATTATATATATTTTGCCAAACTATAAAACTTAACAAAGAAGACCAAACAGCAGAGATAAAAAGACGAGTTAGACTGGCATGGGCGGCATTTGGCAAACTAAGTTACATTCTTAAAAACAAAAGATATCCACAGCATCTTAAGACCAAAGTACACAATGAATGCGTACTCCCTGTTTTTACTTATGGTTCCCAAACGTGGACATTTACAAAAGCAAATATAGACAAAATCATAAAAACCCAAACAGCAATGGAAAGACAAATGTTGCACATAAGACTAATAGATAAAAAGAGAAACCAGTGAATAAGAAAGAAAACAAAAGTGAGAGATGTTAGACAAGAAGTTGCAAAATTAAAATGGAGATTTGCCGGACACAATATAAGACAAAAAGAAGACCGATGGAACAACATTCTTATAAGTTGGAGATCGTGAGAATATAAACGAAGCAGAGGAAGGCCACAAATGAGATGGGCAGATGATATCAAGAAGCAACAGACAGAGAAGAATGGAAAAGGATTGGGGAGGCCTATGTCCAAAGATGGACCGAAGAAGGCTAATTAGATAGATATTAGATAGATATCTTCGTGTCTCTTTTTGTAAATATTTTTTCTTGGTAACCGTTATGGCAATTAGGAAAAATTAGTCGTTGGATTTTTATTTCTTTAATACAAGTTTCAACACCAGATTTATTTTGAAATTGCTTTAAGAAAATTTAAACCCTATTGCATCGATTTATAATAAAATCAATATTTAATTTCCAAGTCAATTTACGATCCAGAACCATTCCTAAATATTTAATGGACGACAAAAACGCATAGTTGCAGCGTTTTAACTTGTCTATTTTTGGGATATTGTGTCGAGTGAAAATACAAACAGTCGATTTGTTTCCAGTGTCTGCTTTTTCCTCTTCTTTTCACGTAGACATGACTCTGTCTGTTTCTTAATGTGCCTTCAGTAAGTTTTCGTTCCATAGTTTTTATGGTCTTCCTACTGATCGTCTTTCTATTCGGGAACCGTCTCTTGCCGTCTTTTTTACTTTATTTGTACTAGTGTTCTATTTTTTACCCAGTCCTTGATATTCTCCACCAAAAAGAACATTCTTTTGTCCTCTCTGTGTCAGGCCGTGTTTTTGCCGCGTATGTTTTTGACTGATTTTTAAATTCTGCCTCTCATTTCTTTCGCGATATTTTTATTTTTCCATATTGTTTCATTCAGGCAGCATGCGCGTTTATTTGCTCTATTCACTTGATCTTTCACTTCTGTTTCGAGATTTTCAATAGCTAAATAATGTGATTCTTAGATCTCCAAGTAAAACTCCATCACTTGTTTTATTATCTGATTTTTCAGCTCCAATTTACATCTTAGTAAATTTGCTCTTATAACCGTGCATTTTGGCTTGTTTGGGGAAATTAACACTTCAAATTTAAATTTTGACGGTTATATCCAACTGATGCAGCAGACCATTTAAATCATCTTTATTTTGAGAGAGTAGTATTGCGTCGTCTGCATAGTAGATTATGTTAAATTGTTTTTCTCGCATTTGAAGAAAATGTAACTGTAAGAAATTGGACTTATCAAGTTCTTTTCCCTTCTGGGAAAGAACTTGATAAGTCCAATTTTTGACATTTATCGCTTTTAATATCACTTTGTAGCTTTAATTATATAATTTTAAGAAGATATACAATACAGCTTAATAATTTAATAAGTGATATAAGTGTAAAAAGCCCTGTAAAGGGAAAAAAACTTGACATGTCCATTTCAAACACGATGATAAGTCTAGATAATCCTAGTAGTTGGCAATAATTGCATGCGACATGGAAAACTGTAATTATAATGTAAAATGTTTTTTATGACAATTTTTCATTTGATACTTTTTGCAGTAAAAATGTATTTACTCTATTTCTGTTTTATCATTATTTTTAAATAGACAGCAAATGATTTTATAGGGAAATAATATGATAAGTCCGTCCGACTTAACTTCTTAAGTCCATGTAGACGAACATGAAAGGATTATTAATATCATTAAAATATGATATTAATTAAAAAAAAAAACAAACTTAAACCAACAACCAATATAGCAAATTTTGATTACTGGATTATTGTAAATTGTAAGATGTTTTCTAATATAATTATAGAGTTTTAAACTTTATAAATGTTCTCCTGAACAAAACCAAAAATTCCTGTTATTTGCCTTTAATCTTCATTTGGTATACTTTTTTAGTTCTTACTTTTTTTATTATTTAATCCATAATTGGTTGAACAATAGAGAACTCAGGCAATATTACACTAAAACACTGAAAACTTTGTTCTCAATCTCTTTCTCACACAATATCTATGTTATCCCATTGCTTGTTGCCAGCCATGAGCAACATGGTCAGTTAGATTTTCTTCTAATATTCTAATTTTTTAGGAATAAAGGTTGTAGTAAAAAATAAATCTGCTTATCTGCAACACAATTATGAGTTATATCTAAGATTTTTTAAAAAATTCTAAGATTCTTTGGTCTAAGATGTTATACGAGTGTCTAATTTTTTGTAAATACAGTTGTGTATAATACACCCAGTAAGTACAAGATATATTAATACTGAAAGATTGACAAATTGATAACTAAACTGAAAGATTAAAGATGAGAGAAAAATAGTAAGGGAAAAGCAGAAACGCTTGCTATACATTTAAAACTATCTTAACTCCATATTCAAAACTAAGAGTTGAGTTGAATTGGTCGCGCCATCCGGCAACATAGCACCGATTCAACATAGAGATTTCAACGATTGTGTAGGCAACAAACTTATTTTAACTTTCATTCTTGCAGTTGCTTTTCCCGTTGACAGTCGGAGGTTGTGCGTGTTTAGAAACAACAAAAATACAACCATTTGCGTTGACAGAACATGTGAAATAGTTTTATTGGTTTTTGAGTGAGTTTATTTCCTACTTGGATATACTTTTGAACCAAAATGCGTGGAATTAGTGATAAGTGTTGGAATTGTTTGGCAGTTATTGTAGTCGTTTGTTTTAGACAGGTAAGTGACTAGTATTAGATGTTATATTATACAGGTGAATAGGAGGCAAATTAGTATCAGTTGTGATCGATGGGATGGATCGTAGAAAGTGTCGTTTATCAATATTCATTTATGTAATTCTTAATATATCATACATGTGTCTATTATAACATCACCAAATGATTGGAAAGTCTTGTCAGATATTAGATATTTGATTATTAATAAGAATTTAAACTTTAAATACAGTAGTTTAAATAAAATTCACACGATTAATTTCTCCATCCTATAAAAAACTTTTTCTAAATGTCAGACACAATATAAATTTCCGAAAAAATGTATTTCAATACGGGAAGATATATAGGAAGACTGATTTGGGGATAAGTAGTTTATTTTATTACATGAAAGTGTTTTATAAACAAGTATTGATAGTGATATGATCTTGGTAATCTGTCTATTTTTTCATTTTCTCTTCTGAAATTTGTTCTTTTAATATGTGCGCAGAATTTGCTATCTTTAGTAAACAAAGAGTTTAACTTCTTATTTGTTTCTTTTTAGATCAAAACAAAAATAAATAAAATGAAAAAAAAATCGCATAAGTAGATCTTTGTGCGATTTGTCGATCTGTCCGTGTCCACCCAGTCCATTTATCCCACCTAAATTGCAAAACCTACAGATTTAGTTTCTAAAATTGTGAAGGGAGTAATTATTTAAGAAAATAATATTGTCTTTTGTTTCTATAATAGAAAACTACAAAAGTCATATTTGTTTACCTATTAACCTATGACAGCTTTGTATCTTGCTTTTAGTATTTTTGTTATCACTGAGCAGTGAAATGTACTGTTTAAAGCTATAAAAATTTTTGTTGTGACTCTGCATTAAAACAGCTAAAAAAATGTACTATCAGAATCGTCTCAAATATGTTGCAAGAGAAACTTGGTCCATAATAAACGATCTTTGAAACAAAACTAACACAGCACATTTTCTCTTTCTAAACCGGAAAATCTAAATGAATACTTCGTTAATGTGAGTAAAAATATAACTTCAGCTATTGTGTCATAAGCCCCTATTTCATATCTCTCCATTTTAAAAAAGGTCTCGAATTCATTTTGTATAAAGACAAGTTGATAAATCTGAACTGATCCAAACAATCAGTAGTATCAAAAGCAAATCTTCCTGTAATACTGATGGACTATCCATAAAAATTTTCTGAAATCTTGCAAATAATGTGTTGGAAGTCCTGGTCTCACTAATTAACGATTCCTTTGAAAAAGATATGTTTCCAGAGTGCCTAAAGACAGCCATTATTATTCCTCTTCATAAGGGTGGTGAAAAATCGATAACACCCAGATCAGTATCGTTGATTCTGTAAAATTTCTAGGTATTTTTATAGACAGCAACCTTAAATGGTCCTTCATATAGATTTGTTAAGTAAAAACTAGCCTCAGCCTGCAATGCAATAAGATTTGTTTCCAAGGAAATCAATTTAGCATCTTCCAAAATAACATACTTTTGAATTGATTTCCTAGGTATTTTTATAGACAGCAACCTTAAATGGTCCCTTCATATAGATTTGTTAAGTAAAAACTAGCCTCAGCCTGCAATGCAATAAGATTTGTTTCCAAGGAAATCAATTTAGCATCTTCCAAAATAACATACTTTTCTTTGTTCAAGTCCCATATTAGATATGGCCTTCTTTTTTGGGGTTCTAGTATAGCTGCCAATCTAATGTTATTTTTAAATTACAAAAAAGAACAATACACTACCTTTTTGGTTTCAGTAGACTAACACATTGCAGAAGCTAGGTACTTCAAAAATCACGGGATTATAACTCTTTCCTCTCTATATATTCTAGAATACGTTTGCGTAATTCGTAAACGCCTACATGTTTTTTCAGTAAGACCTTATCATGACTTCTTCACCAAAAATTGAAGCTTTGATGTGTATTTACCGATCCCGTCCACTGAGTTAGTAAAGAAATCTATAATATATTCGGCAAAAAAAATTGTACAACCATTTCCCTTTACAACTTAAATCTACAACTTTTTTCCATAAGTTCCGTAAATTGACAAAAGCCTATATATCTGAAAGACCATATTATTCAATGGAAGAGTAACGAATCACTAAAAATTTATAGTACGTTTAGGTACAAGCAACAAAGTATTTTTACATACATATATTTGTGTATCACATGCAGCAGCTTAAATTTATTCGTAAACTTTTATTATGCAATTTGCAATTTAGTGAAATTTTGAAAGTAAACAGAAATAAACGGGAATACAAAACCTCATGGTACGACGAAAGGGTGAAAGCACTACCAAATAAAAAGAAACAACATACAAAGGAGTGAAGACACCGGAGGCACGAGAAGACTACGTGAGAATTAGGAATAGAGTAAACCAAGAAATAGATAACATCAAAAAAGAACACTGGAAGAAATTTACCAAAGATATGAAATACGACCTCTACGGATCCCAGAAAAAGGTGTGGAAGATGATGGGACAAAAAAAAAGAAATTAATGAATTTGTACGCATAGATAACATTACGGAAGGAACAATGAACTGAGCATTTCACGAAATTATATGGAGAAGGAGAAAAAGAGAACAGAGAAAGAATCATTAACGAAAGTCATGATAGAGTACTAATATCAGAAAAAGAGCTACAAGAACGAATAAAAAAATTAAAAAATAGAAAAGCACCTGGTCCTGATAAGATAAACAATGAACTGCTAAAATATGGAGGAACAACACAACACAAATGGGACGGCTTCCGGAAGAACCGCAGCACAATAGACGCAATTTTTATTATCAAACAAATAATATAGAAGTCTATTGAATATGGGAAACCAGCATGCATGTGCTTTGTAGATTTAAAAAGTACTTTGAATCGGGTGAAGCGAAATGACATATTAAATTTATTACAAGCTGAACAAATACACCATCGGATAATAAGGACAATTAATGAAATTAACAAGAGCAACAAGACCAGAGTTATAATGCCAACAGGAGAAACAGAATGCATAGAACTAAAAGGAGGAATCTGCCAAGGAGACTCACTCAGCCCATTGTTATTCAATATGGCGATGAATCGAGTAATTCACGAAGAAAGAAAACAACACGGATATCACATGGGAGCACATAAGATCACGATACTATGCTATGCCGATGATGCCATACTAATTGCTGATAACGAAGATGACCTACAAAGGCAGCTCCACACCTTCAATACCACAGCAAACTAACTTAATATGAGAATATCAGTAGAAAAAACTAAATGTATAGTGATCAGTAAAGAGCCGCGTAGATGCAAACTAGAAATAGACGGCAAAATTGTAGAACAAGTAATGAAATTCAATTACCTAGGAGTAGAGATCACTAGTGACAGGGATATAAGAACAAAGACCACAAGGAAAGCATCAAAAGCGGCAAGAGTAAGTGGTTTCCTTCGAGAAGCCATATGGAGAAAGAAATATCTGACCACGGAAAGCAAAATGAACGTATACAAGATGTAAGACCAATCCTAACATATGCAGCGGAGACAAGGAACGATGCAAGAAAGACGAAACAACAAATCAACAATATCGAAATAAAAGTATTAAGATCAATAGCGGGCATATCATTAAGAGACAGACAAACCAACAGAAGTATACGCGAACAATGCAAAATTCAAAATATTAACAGGTGGATAAAAACAAGAAAAAAACTGGAACGAACATGTAAACCGAATGGGACAGAAGACCGGAAAGCCGCCAAAAAGCTGGAAAGATAATGTACAGTCAACAACGACTGAAACAGAATAAGAAGCAAACAAACACGAGTAATCCTGGTCGCACGAAGAGAAGAAGAAGAGAAATTTTGCAACGGATTGTATGTTTTATGTTTTATTTTGTGATATTGACGATTTATGTAATTTTAGTAAATTTTAATTGTTACTGTTACTTGTTTAAAACTTTTTGTCAGCTTTGTCCATAAAATTGTACAATTTTCAGTAACAATAAAGCATATTTATATTCTAATAGACGTATTCTACTATCGTTTAGTATTCTGTCAAATTAACAACTGAGGACATTTTGAATACTTATTTAGATTAATTTAGCAATGTAGTAAACTTTTAATTATTATGTTCAAATTTAGTTGTACATACATAGTTTAAATCAAAAAATTACTTTTCCATCACTTTCAGTCTCATGACTGATTATAATTCCATTTGCTATTTGATGTAAATGCAATAATGGATGTAAAATTTTTAATTTAAATATTTGTTGGATTTAAAATTCTCGAATGTCCAAAAGTCAAATAACCTATTCACAATATGGCTACTGTTGTTAATTCCCAGAATATATTAATTTTAAACTAAAATGCCGCAAGATAATGGCTTCAAAACCATATTACACAAGATTTTACGACTTTTTGTTGTTAAATACAATTTTTCTTCGACTTTTTTCCCATCATTTACCGATCCTTTGACAATAATGATCATAGCAGGGATACTGTTGTCTCTCCCAATACTACAATCTATATACTTTAGGACGTGGACCGTAGAAAGTGACACGTAATTAGCATGGCAAGTTATTATTAATGGTATTTCTTTATCGTCGGACGGCCGATGAAATTAAGCAAGTTTTCCCTTTTAAGATTATGTGCAATTGTCTGAATCGGTTGTGCAATCCTTGGTGGTAATACTTTTTTATTTTTGTGATGCCATCGGAGGTTGTTAATTATTTGCATTGTGCCAGTGGTGGAGTCCACGAAGGATGCAGCTTGGCGGTATTTATTTTTAATCATGCTTTTTAACGTGGGCAGATTATTATTATTTCATAATATACAAAATCCTTTATTATCATAAAACAAAACGGTTTCTGTTATGTTTAATATTAACACATAACAATATTAAAAATATAAATATGGGAGATAATTTTATAACTACTTATTTTTCTTCCGAATACAAAACCGATATTAAGCGTTATTGCTTCTTAATACTGTTTAGTATGTCTAACATTTTTTTAGTACGTAATTTTTGAGTA